GTTTGGGAAGTTTGTAAAAAGTGCAGAGCTCAGAGAGGAGTCCTGGCTTTTGTTTGGGATTCCTCAAATCGCAAAAAATATAACAAAGCAAGTGGGCGGTTTGCTGTTGACATTCCCTCTGATTGATATTTGTAGTCTGGGTCCAGGCCAGCATGCCTGACATGGAAACTCAGCATCCACACAACCTTTGCAGCCGGAGGCTGGCTGAGGGAGCAGAAAGCCGGTCAAAGCAACATCCCACCCCCAAATGGCGGGGGTTCCTGATGATTTCCCTTTTTCACCACGGCAAACAACAGTACCAACTCGAACAGCACACCTGTGCCTGAACTTTCGCACCCAAACATCTGAGCTCCACTGCTAGGCAACTCTGCCGATCCAAGCCAGCCAAGTGGTTTCCGAGTCTTAAGCTGATGAATGTCTTACACTGCCAATCTGGTCTTTGAAGCCTGTGTGTGGTCATCCTGTCTATGGTCTATGGTCCATTTGGCATTTGGGATGGTCAAAGTGGAGACTCGCCAAATTTCCCGCGAGGACTCCTTCAATTTCCAGGGGATTCGTTTTTTGTACCATGTTATCTAGGAGAAATAAGTAGTTTTGACCGTGGCGCATGTAGTTAACGTTGCTTGCCTGGGGATAAAACAAAGGTCCCGTACTTGGGGTGATTATATGTTTTCCGGTTTGTGCGTAGTGAGGTGCCTTGATCTAATTTGATCCAGGATGGACCCGAAGGATGACAATGAATGCGGGACATCTCAATCCAAGAAATCCTGAATTGCAAGATTAAGTTCATAGGACATGCGTGTCAGCTGATTGAGGGGCGCCAGAGTGCTCTTTCCAAGACACTTCGGTGTGCCGGAAACCGTACTTTTGTTTGTGTTGCCGAGGCGTTTTCTCGTTTTGCCTAGGGACAGTGCCCTGGCACTGGCACGTGGCCGACAGAAGGCCAACTCAAATGGCTCACCCAAAAAAGAGGAATACGGAACCCCCAAAAAGCGATTCATTTCCAGACGAATCTCCTCTTGTGGCCCCCCCCCCATTTTGGTTCCACAGTTTTTTGCAGGGGTGACATTCCTTTTGGAGACGCTTCCAGGTACCGGTTCCGCATCCGGCGCGCCCACTCGATTTGGCCGGAGTACGTGTCAGACAGCATGGCCCAGCGGTGGTGCGCACCACACTTCTCGGGGCCCTTGGTGGCAGACGTCTCCTTCATCAGGAGACAAACTTCGAAATCCGACCTCTAGACTTAAAAGGCTCCCCGGCCCCCTTTTTTGTAGTTTTTTTTTTGGGGGGTCCCTTTGTTTTCCACTAACCAGGCAAAAAGAGATAATGTTTTGCTGTGATCCTAATTCCAGCCTAGTAGAAACCGGTTTGTGGTCCAACTCGTTTTCTCATTTTTGGGTTAAGGTCCCGGACTTTTCATCTCCCTGGCAGAGGAGCTGTGGCTTGGCCTTGGTTCCACGGACCTGTCCGATTTTCCGATTTCCTGCCACTTATGCCATTTCAGACCAACCAAGCTACATGCCCACATCGCGGACGCCCTGACCCCACACAACATAATGGGTTGCTGGCTTTTGTGTGTTGTTTTGGTTTCTTTTACCCATTCCAGCTCTTTCTGACCCACCCCAGGGGCTGATGCCCTCCAATCAAAACAAAGTGCACGGTTTCCCATTCACAGGCAGTAGTCTTCCATTTGCTCATTTGCAGAAGGTGTTGGATTTCTCGCTGTTCATTTTAGGAGGTCGTGAAGGATGATGGTTATGTTTGGCGACACAAAAAATCATTTGTGTGTTCTAGTGGCACCGAATTTGGAGATGGACGGGTCGTTTTCCCAAAAGGGTCCGCGCACCACGCACCATGTGGGAGGGTGCCAGCCGTTTGTTGCCGTCTTTCTACTGAGCAGGAGCTCTCCTTCATACAGCTCCAACAGAGGCTCCGGCAGTGGCAGCAGCCCCTTGGCAAACTAGAGGGGGGGGGCTGTATTTCACAGGGTTCTTCGAACCTGAAACCAGTGACCAAACCACAAGGGATACCTTGAGTCGGTTTGGTTGCCTTTGGTTTTTGACCGTGGATCAAATTTCTATCCTGCGGTTCGATCGGGCCTTTGGAGCAACCCCCGGAGGTTCGTGGTCAATTTTCACACAAGGACTCGCTAGTTTTTGTTCCCAGCGATGTGGCATCGATGCTTCTTACTGGCATCAATCTTTTCAGAAACCCCAAAAAGCCCCAACCTCAAAAACGGGGAAGAGCAAGCGCCACCACGCAAGCACTCGGAGGGCATTTTGTCATCACTGGGGCAAAACCACATGTCGTAAATAGCATCAACCAGGAGCCAGGGCCAAAGTTCAACCAAGATATGGACCGCAGATGTTCGCCACATGCCATGTACCGGCGCCACTTCTTTCAGGACGCCGGAGGGCTTTCCATGGCCGTTTCAGGCACCTCCTTCGGTGGCGGGCATTCCGGCGGCGGCGGCGGCGCGGGAGGCAGCTGGTGAGGAGATCGAGCAAAAGGCAGCCTTTTGGTGAGGTGGGCGCTGGTGGACGGTTCCGTTTTGGAAGATACTGTGGGTGGACCAAATCTTGCACCACCTAAGAATCCCTGGCATGATGAGTCCCTTTTAAATACCAACAAACAAATGGTTTCCCATGGTTTCCATTTGGTGCAGGATTTCGTCCACCAACAGTATGTCTGAGGTTTTTGTGTATTTCTGACGTTGACAAACGGGGGGTTGGTATGTGGATGGGCTTGAAATGGAAAGTATGGGGATTCCCCGAAATGAGACAAAGACAAAACCGGATGCGACACCAAAGGGGAACCACCCTGTGGGGGGTTCATGAGAACGACCTGCTTGCTCACTGGCTGTGATCTGATTGAGATCTTGCTTGCCTGAAGTCCTGTGGCTGTGAAAGCGTGCACCGTTTGACGCGTTGAGCATCCCTGGTCAGTGCAGTAAAGGCGTTCTTGTCCAATCCTTGTCCGACTGCTCCTAATGTACAGCGAGGAACATGGGGCAAAGTTGAAGCGGGAGTGCCTGGAGCTGATCAACGGTTGGAAACCGGTAAATAGATTCTGCGATGTATCTATATATATATAGATATAGATATACATGTGATGTACACTGAAGCACTGAGTTCAGAGTCGTTTTTTTTTTTGTAATTGCAAGGCCCTTGCATTTCAGCAAGGATACATCAACCCGGCGCTCTCGCCTTTGATTAAGTGCTGTGCACAGGCAGACCTCGAAGTCGAAAAGGAGTTGCGGTCGGACACGAGGAACCTCAAACCCGCTGAACCATCTGGGAGACCCCATTGAACTCGACCTGCACCCACAGAGCAGGGGAAGTCCGAGGCATTTCCCTTCAAAGGGAACCTGTGGCGATTTCAACCCAAACCAGCAGATTGAACTTGAGAGGAAATCCAGTGCCCCCACCTGGAAAGTCCGAACCTAGCACCCCGAGTATTATCTTAGGCTTCCGAGCTATCAAGTTCAGGGTCGGGAAATATCGAGTGCCTCCGACGTCTTGCCAAGTTTGGTTGACAAATGACTCATATAGATTTTCGGTCAAACTACTCTCCAGTGGAAGTGTACTGTCCAGGACAATCTTCCATGAAGTCTCTTGTCACTTTCCATGGTTGGTGGGGAGGATATTAGTTCAAGGTTATTTTGCCAGAATCCACACAAGATAGATTTTCCAGTCTTTGATTTTTCATCCAAACGAAGTTCACTTTTCAGCATCTGTGACCTTCACATGTGATTGATCATTGCCTGTGGTGAGTTGTTCGTCGCAACGAAGGCCCCCGCTCTCTGCGCGGCTCAAGGTATCGCCCCAAAAGGAAGCCGAACTCCGAGTTCGCTTCGCAGTGGGTGGCCACAGTTCTCATGAACAAGGTACCGGTACCTTAGGTATACAGAATAGATCATTGGGCATGAGGATTTTCGTTCATTTAGAGATGCCCACGAGAGATTCAGAGACGCGTTTTGGGGACAACGCGATTCGTTGGATCCGTGCCGCTGCGCGCTGGGATTCGAAAAAAAGGCGGGGCTTCGACCAGCGAAACGTGGGGGCGGCGCACCCAAACTGTGGGTTAAAACCAATGGGACCCCATGTTGGGGGATTTGTGCACCACCCATTTTAGAACCTATTCTGGTGGGGATTGAGATGTTCACTGGAGGTACGGGGTTTTGACCCTGGACGAAATGTTGGAGGCTAGCAAGCATAGAAGACTGGAAATAGTCATGGGGGCTGGGGGGGAGGGAGGGGGGGGGAGGGAGCCCCAATAAGCCCCAAATTAGGGGCCTCATGAGGGCTTATTTGGGCTCCCTCCCCCCTCCCCTCCCTCCCGCCCAGCCCCCATGAAATAGCGGAAATTTGTAAAGAGCAACGGTCTCTCAATAGTTTAAGCCTCAATTGAGCCGCGCGAAAGTCCTCGATCTCCCAACCTCTGGAAATAGACTCGAAGGCTGGATATTGTCAAGGGTCCCCAATCCCAAAATTCAATGGCGGCCAAAGCCCTTTTCGCAGCTTCCTTTGGGCACCTTCTCCCCTTGCCCCAATGGGATTGGATGCCCTCGCGCTAGGCCCGATGCCCGCGCACTCCTTGCAAGATCTCAAGGATGGCTTAAAGGATGGCCGCTTGGCGTAAGCATTCGTTGACGTAAAGAGAGAAACATGCTACACAAACCCGATAGGAGCTGCATTTGGGCTTAGCAAAACCCACCCTTGAGCTGCTGTCAACCGCAAAACCATGGTAACACAAACAAAAGCACAAAGTGTCCAGCAAAGATGCAGCTTGCGCCCAAATGGAAATCTTCGAGACTCAAAGTTGCAAGGTGCGCAGCTGTAGCGCTGCAATAAACACCTTGCTGGGCGATCGATGCAACAGCGTGCGAAATGCGCCCAAACCAGGGAGTTGTTCCTCTATGTTGCTTGAGCTGCAAATCCCCGGGCGCTGGCTGTCCTTGCCCCCAGCCAAGCCCGGCATCTTTCAGGAAAAATATGGGCCCCCAAAACGCTTGGGCTCCTTTTGGCGCGGGTATAAACATATCTTACCCTGTGAGCCGGCAAACTCGAAGGTTTTGGCAGCCTTAGGATTTTGGTCAAGGGCTAAAATATGTTCATCTTTTCAGGCCAGTCAACTAAGCAGGGCAGTGCAGCTAATGAGGCCATGTAGATCTTGAACATATAATTCATTCATTTAAATGCCATTATACTTGATACCTGCTCACCCCAGACTTTAGCAAGCCAAGAACCTCAGGGAAAGTGGGCTAAGCTTTTCTCATTGCTTGGATTGCTTGGTGAGTTCCCCCCCTTTTTAGGTGAGCAGCCCTGATTTAGAACACACCCATGTGCTTGCGGTGAGGGATAAGTGGAACCCATGGATTGCTATCGTGATGTCCGTTTAGAATCGTCCAGGTCCAGGTGGCTTTTAACTCTTCTTGCCTCTGGGCTCAGCCCAAGAAAGTGGCCGCTTGAGACGGAGCGACTTCATTCATTCGTGCACCGGGGGATGGGGAATCTGAGGACGACCGCAATTCCAAGGGCACCCTCGCTAGCTCCAGGTGGCATTTGCTTGATTTCGGAAGCACACGTTTTGCCGGTTTTGCCGGGGATGCTGTTTAACTCATGGGCAATACGCAATCCGTCAACCCTTTGGTTTGGGGGTTTGGACTGGTTCTTGCGGGTTCACCGGAAAGCGGAGCACAAAGCCGATCCAAGGCTACAAGGGTCAAGCAGGCCTATCTTTGAACAAGGCGCGGGTGGGCCTCCAGCAGCTCGGCATTCGCTTGTATATGCTCGGTGGCTCCCAGCCATCTCCGTAGCCTTTTAGCTTTTTTAGTGTTTAGTGGTAGTTTCCATGTAACCCACAAAAAGTGAAACTTTTAGCGGGGGATCTGAGGGCAGCCCAGACTGGACGACCGCTTGTGGGCATGGTGCATTGGTTACATAGGTTGCCGGAACTTTGAGAAACCTACGAGCTCACTGTTTACCAAGCAAATGGGGAACCTGGCAGGTTTTGTTTGAAGCGTGTGAGTCGGGACGGGGCACTGTCAGCTTCCACAATGTGAGGGAGGGTACTATCTCAACTGCGCAAGCTGCACGCGAACTCAAATGATCAACAGACAGTATTCAAGGCTTGTGGTTTTTTCCGAAAGCATTGTGAAGGGTTGTTGCGGCAGAATTGCCAGCCCGCAGCCAAATAGCGCACACCACATGCAGAGCAAGATATGCGAGTGCACACGCAGAGCAAGATGCGCAATCGTGCCGCAGAGTAAGCGCGAGAGTACATGCAGAACAAGATGCACAAGACGAGAAGAGTAGGTAGCACGAGAGTGCATTGAACTGAAGCTTCACGCGGCGCGGCTCTGGACCCAACCTACCCTCGAAAATGGCACCCTCTGTGGGGATCGGTGCGGTCGAAGTGTGAAAACTGAGGTCTTTTACTTTGTTTGATCTGCGTGCGTGACTCGCTGTGGGGATGGGCGATGTGCAAAATCTCAGGATCTCTGCAACTGCTTGATTTGCGCGTGCGATTTTCTGGGGGAACAAAATGACGGATGTGCAAAGCTGACAGCTTGGATCTGCGCCCGCAACTCTCTGCGAGGAGCGGTGTACGAACATTGGAGTGGTTTGCAACTTTTTGAGGTTCGGTTTGCAAAATTTCTGCGGGGATCGGAGTGCTCGCCTTGAGAACGACGCCCTGGGTTGAGACTGATGCGTGCAAACCTTGCAGAGAGATGAATGCACACAGAGGGCGCGCTTGCGCAGATTAGCAGCCGCCGAGAGCTCGCCCAAAAGCACATTGTCGAAATGCTCAGACAGCTTGCGCAGAGAAACTTGCGTAGACAAACTTGAGCAAAGAAGTTTGAGCCGAGAACTGACACAGAGAGTCTTGCGCAGAGCAGCTTGTGTGCAGATATTGCACAGAGAAGCTTGCGTGGCAAGCGCGCGCAGGGACCGCTAGCGCAGTCTTTCGCAAAAGAACTTGCAGAGCGACTCTTGCAGCTGCAGCTCCAAAATGCAAAACGCCGGAACTGCTCACTGCATGTGATGTGTTCGGGCCGCCCGTTCTTTTTGTCGATGGTCCCCTGTCGGTTTCTTGCGGTAAAGTGACAGTCGAGCTCTTTCCGAGGAGTTGTGTCGTACAGGTTTGGCAGGCTGAGATGACGTTAAAGCCTGAAAAACGAGAGAGGGAGAGAGAGAGAGAGAGAAAGAAAGAAAGAAAGAAAGAAAGAAAGAAAGAAAGAAAGAAAGAAAGAAAGAAAGAAAGAAAGAAAGAAATAAAGAAATAAAGAAATAAAGAAATAGAGAAAGCAAGAAAGAAAGAAAGAAAGAAAGAAAGAAAGAAAGAAAGAAAGAAAGAAAGAAAGAAAGAAATACATAAAGAAAGAAATAAATAAATACATAAAGAAAGACAAAAATAAAGAAAGAAAGAAAGAAAGAAAGAAATAAAGAAAGAAAGACAGAAATACATAAAGAAAGACAGAAAAGAAGGAAGGAAGGAAGGAAAGACAGAGCAGACAGACAGAAAGAAAGAAAGAAAGAAGGAAGGAAGGAAGGAAAGAAGGAACACATGGAACATAAGGACATAAAGGAATAAATAAAGAAAGAAAAAACGAAAGAAAAAAGGGAAAAAAAAAGACAGAAAGAAATAAAGACAGATAGAAGGAAAGAAGGACAGAAGGAAAGAAGGAAAGAAGGAAATAAAGAGAGAGAGAGAGAGAGAGAAAAAGAAAGAAAGAAAGAAATACATAAAGAAAGAACGAAAGAAAAAGAAAGAAATAAATAAAGAAAGAAAGAAAGAAAGCAAAGAAAGAAAGAAAGAAAGAAAGAAAGAAAGCAAGGAACGAAGAAAGAAAGAGAGAGAGAGAGAGCAAAGACATAAATATCGAAATAAACTAAAAACAGGAAGGAAGGAAGGAAGGAAGGAAGGAAGGAGGGAGGGAGGGAGGGAGGGAGGGAGGGAGGGAAGGAAGGAAGGAAGGCAGGAAGGAATGAAGGAAGGATGGAAGGTAAAAAGGAAATACAGAGAGAAAAGAAAAGAAACAAGAAAAGAAAAGAAAAAGAAAAGGAGAGAAACAGAAAGAAAGAAAGAAACAAAGAAAGAAAGCAAGAAAGAAAGGAAGGAAGGAAGGAAGGAAGAAAGAAAGAAAATGAAGGATAATGAAAGACATGAAAGAAAAGCGAGACGGGTGGCGGGATGTTTGCATGTTCAATGAACGGTTGCTTTACTTTTGCTCGCTGCTTTTTCGTTGCTCTTGGCATGTCAAGCCAAAACATGTTCTGAAAGGACTGAAAGCACCGTTCAAATTCTTTGGGCCAGCCTGCGCTTCTGTGAGTCGCGAGCATTCCATCCGACGCAGTTTGTGCGCCGCGCCCGGTTCGTAAAGTCCGCTTCCCCTGACAACTGTGCCTTTCCACATGGCACGGAAGGCCACGCCTTTGAAGCGCGGCCAAGCCTTGGGTTTCTCAGAAGTTGGGCCAAAAAGTCGTCAGTTGCTCAGCGGGTGGAAGAACGGTGAAAGGGTTGCCTCCGGTCATTTCCCAATTTTTTGTTCGGGTGCCCCACAACAGTTTGCCAGGAAACACAGTGTCCTTTTCCTACCGGGGTCACTGAGGACTAGGCAAAATGGCTGTCTGCAAAAGAAGGAATACGATACCCGTCATTGCCCCATTGTTTTACTTGTTGGTATGTTCATGCTGGCGGGAACAAATCCTCCACCCACTGAGTGAAATGACTGGCCAGCCATGCTTGCAAGGCAAAGTTTGATGGGTAGTTGTTTGCAAAATGCTTGAAGCAACTGGGGATGTGCGCAGTTTTTCAAGCAACGCTTTTTCGAGTTGCGTACCTTCGAGTTGGCATTTACCCTCCCATGGTCACCAGGCAATTGAAGCAGGATTCCCATTCTCATCCAAGTGTCTCGCGGATTGTCTTTGTGTGACGGTGTGTGAGAGGTTGTTGTAGCAGCCCTCTATCATTTTGCGCTATGAGCATTGACAGCTTGTTTTGCCAGGCCAGCTTACACAAAGCGTCCTTCGAACAATTCTTGGAGGGTGCCTCGGCACACAGGAGGCATGTGTCAGCTTGCAAGCCGTGAGTGGTTGATGACCATGACGGGTTGTGACGGGTGTTTGTCAGGATGTAGGTGACACCCGCGGTTGCTGGCCACCAGCCATTCTGGAAGCCGATCGGCCAAGCTTCTTGTTGTTGCAGCTCCCACCCACTTGGGTACGGAACGAAAACCAAGGGCTGCACGCGCGAAGCTACATAGCTTTCACTGGCATGTTGAACAACCATTCAGCCACCTCCTCGGCAGGTCCGTCCGTGTGAGAGTGAACTAGAAGGTGACTTCCTTACCCGTCTGTTGACGCGCTGACCTCAATACTGGAGGATGCGACATTCGTGCGCGCACCCGTGGCTAGGCTAGCGCAGAGAGCCACAAATCTTCGGCAGGCGCTGCGCACTTTCTTTTCCCCACTTCTCAGGCGAGGGTCTCTAGATTTTATGAACACCTATGCGTATCTATTGTGAGTTCGAACGCGTGACATACGCCACCGCGGCGCATTTGTGGCGCAGGTGGTCGAGGGCATGATCACACCAGAGGAGGCTCTGAAACAGCAAACGCAGAAGCTGGGCGCAGACGGAAACAGGTATGACCTCATCACTTTTGAAGTAGCAGCTCGGGCCTTGCCGCGGCTGTTACCGAGCACCCTGGGCTTGGGTCGTCTGTTGAACGAGAGGTTGGCGCCTATGCTGGGGCTCTCAGGAGGTGGATCTGATTGGCTGAACTCGGCGTCTCCATTGTCAACCGTGTGTTATGGTACGACCTCCGCAGGCACGCCCTCAGGTTTCGTACCAGAGCAACTTCAACCGCTGTCCGCCGGCGCCGGGGTGGTTGAATCCACGTGTGGGACATCAAGGAGGTGCGCTGCTACACGGCGGTTCACTTCATTGATGAGCTCGGCGCCCTCACGCTTGAGCCGTTGTTCAGCGGTGCAATTTGTTTGGCTTTCACGGGCGCCGGCGACGAGTTCCAGGGGAATCACCTGCTTGAGCGATTTGCCGGGCGCGCAGCGCGTCGTGATCCCTGTCAGGCCAAGCGGAGGATGGGACATGCTGAGCGGCATGGTGCGTTGATCAAGGTTGGAGGAGATTGCTTAGGCGATGGTCTATGCGGTGTCCAGCAATCTGATGTTGCTCATGCTGTGGAGGAAGCCAGGGCGGGGTGACCTGGCCCGCATGAAGATCAGCCCGCGGAGGCTTTCGAGCACGGAGGCTTTTCGAGGGCGATGCTGGCGGAGTTGCTGTTCAAGCTGACCGGGTGGAAGTGGCGTGCGAGTTACTTTCGTTGATGCCAAGACCGGGTTCGACGTGCTCAACAGCGAGCGCCTCACGTCCGACAGGAAGATCCGGATCGATGCCGCGGTGTTGCAAGAGGCCGGCCCAGAACTTTGTGTGTTGGGTGCCGGGCGAGGAGACGGTGAGCGACAGCCTCGCCAAGTGGCACGGCAACGGCGTCCTGGAGAATGTGATGGGCAGGGCAAATGGAGTTTGACGGACACCGAGGAGGCAAAGCTTTTGAGGGAGGAGGCCGGCTGTCGCAAGCGTGAATACATGCTGCGCAGGCGTTTGTAAGCTCCATAGGGTTGCCCGGAAGCCGTGCAGCTTACCTATCTACCCATCTATCTATCTGTCTATCTATCTACCTATCTATCTACCTATCTATTTATCTATCTATGCATCTATATCTCTACCTCTCTAACTATGTATCTGATTGTCTGTGTATCTATCTATCTCTCTATCTGTACCTAACCTTGCGAAAGTGCTGCGAAAGTGCTGCGCCTGCAACGAAATCTGTACTGGACCTTGTGAAAGTGCTGCGCCTGCCACGAAATCTATACAACTGACCTTGCGAAAGTGCTGCGCCTGCCAAAAAATGTACCTGACCTTGCAAAAGTCCTGCACCTGCCACGAAATCTGTACCTGATCTTGCGAAAGTGTTGCGCCTGCCACGAGATCTGCACTGACTTTGAGAAAAAAGCTTGCGTGTCAATGATTTGCTTACATTTTTCACAGGTGCGGATCACCCGAAGTAAAGTAATTTTGATTAGTGGAGCACAGTTCATCGACAGGGTTCCGTTGCAGCAGTCTGCGTGGGGCTCATATTCGTCAAGTTGTTCGGGTTCCAGGGCTGTCCTCACCTTTTTGCGCTTGACTCGACTCGTTCCAGCCTGTCTTCTGCATGAAGAAGCGGGAACGACGTCACAGTTTTATTATGCTTCATTCCGTACCAAAGCCTGCGGTGAGTAGGCTCTACGTAATCACTTCAAGCACGTTGGCTCTGGCAAATCACCTTGCATTCGGCACGGTGTAGTAGCTGAGATTGAGCCATTGACGTAGGCGTGACGCCAATACACCCTTCCACTGGGATTGATTCTTAGCTTTGAAATTTGTGCTCAAAACACTGTGCCTGTTCATACCACCCGTATGAGCACGGCCTGGCTGCGTTGCTGTCGCACGACTCGCGCCCCTCTTGCAAAGGCCATGGTTGCGTCACCCGCATGCCGCTCTCGTGTGCGATTGTTTGCATGCCGCATGTGCACATAGATTGAGACTTGCTAGAATCAAATCCGGTAAAAAGCAGCATCAAGCACAGAGGAGCAGTTTTGACAGACGGAAAACTACATTTCGAGAGACCAGCAGCTACTTGCAGCCTTTGATTTGGATGCAAACTCACGCGCACAGGTGGCCTTTTGGAAAAATAGATGGGTTCCCCTAGCAAATGGGGCATCAACCCCATCTAAACCAGTGGAACCCATCGATTTTTAACCAAATGAACCTAAAAAGGACACCTATGGACTCACAGGGTATGAGACAACGAGTCAGGCCTTGAGCATCTCCGGGGCATCCAAAGGCCCGCTTGCTCCCAGCCCATTTGCGCCCAGATGGAGGAATTTGCGCGATAAAGCTTGGCGAGGCAGGAGGTGTTCTTTCAGAAAGCGTCAGCAGCACTTGTGCCACAGCCACCCCTGCCAGCAAATGCTACGCAAGCACGGAAGTTATTGAGAAATCCTTTCTGCTTCCTGGAAAAGCAGACGAGCTAAACGGCAGGTTCTTTCGCCCACAGTTCAGGCTGATTTCCAGCACGTTGCGTACAAGCAATGCGCTGAACAGGCAGCACATCAAGAGACACGGGTACTCAGCAAAACAAGATTGAAGGCTTGCCTTGTTTCATCCAGTGGGGTGTGTGTGTGTGTATGTATATGTGACTGTGCTTGCATGCTCTGTGTGTGTGTGTGTGTTGTGCGGGGAGGTTCAGGTGGATACTCGGACACATCACGGCCCGCTCCCGCAACGCTGTACGTTGGACCCATTCGGGCGGCCGGCGGCCGTCAATGCGTGGCACCGGGGGTTGTCCGAGGCGTGCAGAAGAATCCCAAAGCGCTCGAGAAAGGCATCGAGCTGGCACGCAAGCTTCACGAGATGAGGCCGGGTCAATCGGCAAAGAGGCTGTGATAGTTTGGGAGTTTGGGAGTTTGGGGAGTTTGGGATGTGCCGGCCAAATGGGCAATTTGGTCGTCAAAGGCAATCTCACCACTGGATGTCATTTGCCCATGATTGGGGGAGGAAGAAGTGTTTCTGCACTCTTGCTGTCTGAGTAATGCGACTGCCTGGTTTGTTGCCAAATCTTGGCACCTAAATGGGGCATTCTCTAATCTGGCACGGACAGCAAATGGCACGTTGCTGGAGGTAAGAGGATCCTTCGCTTGGCATAAGTCCTCTCCATGCCCAGCTTTATCTTTCATGGCTCCTTCCTTGGTTTGCAACCGGTCAAAGGTTCAAGAAGAACTGGTGCCCGATTTTTCGTTTGGGGTTCGACTTCCCATTTGGCTGTGGGTCAAAATTAGGTACCCAAAATGGAACCCTGGCAAATGGAAACAAAGACTAAAACCTGCGGTCCAATTCCTGGTGGCTTAATTTTGACCCACACCCAAGTTCCTAGCAGCGGCCCCTTAGCCTAGAAAAGGTCGTTGGCTTAGATTTCAACGGGGCATTCGAGCGAAAGGGACTGGGATCTAACATATGCCATGAGTGAATGTGTGTGAAAACGAGTGAACATGAGAGTATTGATTTGAAGCCTTGAAGCGTTCGAGAAAAAAGCAGTTTCCCTCGTCGCCAGGGTCGCGGCCACGGAGGACGCGCGGCAGGTGCGCCGCGGGCGCTCGGAGGAGGAGAGCGGCACACCGCGCGGGCGCCTGGCCACGCGCAGGGCCAAGTGCTGTCAGCTGACAGCTGGAGTCTCCAGAGTTTTTAAAATATGGGTCCCTGACCCCATGTTGGGTAATGACCAACCATTTTTTGAAGAGTCAGGGAGGCTCCAGGTAGACTTGCCCTGGTGCTTCGGCTTAGACTTTTGGGTCAAAAACTAGTTAATTACCGGCTTAGAGTGTTCCTTGGATCCTGAGTGGCTTCTGAGTGAGTTTCAATCGCGATGGAGCATGGTTAATGTTATTTACTAATACGGCTGTTTGAGATTCGGTTCGGACTTGGTCAAGGTGGCAAACCGGAAGTGCTTGGGAATATAATTGCTGGGTTGAGCTGGGGCTAAGTGCCTTGGGTACGTTCTAGGGCTGGCAGCACAGCCAAAGCGGCCGGCAGAAACAAGACTTTTCCCATGGCAGTTTGGTGGTTTCTGTGGAAATATTCCTGGAAAGAATAGGAAATGATCCTTAGGAATAATCAGAACAGAAAGGCTCATCGGAACTGCGGAACACTGCGAGCTTGTGCAGCTGGTTGACACCAATCAACCACAAGTATCTCGATGACATGACAAAAGAAGCGGATCTAAGCCAATGAACAACTACGATACTCGGAGTTTATGAGCTAACCGGGGGGGGGGGGGGGGGGCGGGGGCGGGGTTCTGGTCGTGTTTGCTCAGTTGGTCTTGTTTGAAAGTGCCATCTGCTACATCATGGCCATGAATTTTAATAGGGAACCGCCTCAAAAGTGATTGGTGGACATGAATTCCATGAATCCCCACCGAATCTTGATGTCCACCCAAGGGTCCCTTATTAAAACTCATAGCCAACCAAAAATGACCTCGGCCACAGTGCCATCAGCCAGCAACTTGAAGCCCCAAATCGGGTTTGACCAGTGAGAGCTGGGATTTGGGTGCGGTTAGGAGAAGTGTCCGGTTCTTGTGGTTAGGAGAAGTAGCCAAAAGGAAAAGCGGCTTTCTGTGAGTTCCGTTCCTTTAAAAGGAACACGGTCCAAACCAGAAAGTCCCCGAACCTCAGGTTCCGGCGGTTGATTGGTGGGCCCAACACCACACCCGCAGGAATTCCACTCTCTGAGACCAGCATCTAAATCATGCGCAACCCAAACCCCCCTACTCTCCTTTGCATCTAAATCAAGCCTCAACAAGTCAACAAGCCCTTACTCCTTCATCCATCAGTGCAAGACGAATCAGAAAACAGTTGGCATGAAGCTGCTCTCACTGTGAAGTTTCAAAGCGTCAGTGTTTGTACACGATTCTCATGTATGTCTTCCGTAGTGGCCAGGATGAGAGTTTAAGTCGGATGTAGATGCGGTTCACAGCGTGAAAATGCCAATCAAGGACTCAGCTTCGGTCCACAGTGGTCGTTTGTAGTGTATGTGCCTGCTTGTGTGTGTGTGTGAAACAGCTTGCAGGGGGGGTGTTTTTGCAGGGTACCCCTTTCTGGATTGGTTTTAGAGAGAAACCCGAAGGGAAACCACCCATTTGTTGCCGTCCTTCAAAAAGTTGTGTTTGGGAAGGGAGTCGAAGCTGCCCCGAGCCCAGGAAAGCCCCACCACTGCTGCAACGCGCTTGCAGTGATACCACCAAGCTGGGGTGCTCAGTACTCAGTACACTTTGGTTCAAGTTAGAGGGGTGCGGTGTCTCACGATAAATTCCCGGTTATGGGGTTCTTCACTCGTGTTACAGTTAAATGGTGCTTCATGAAGCTGGTTACATCAAAGTCGCTGGTCACATGACGCACACCAGGGGAGGAGCTCTAAGTTTCACAGGCCCTCTTGGGGGAAGAAGTAATTTTGACCGTTCATGTTGATTCCACACTGCCAAGGGTCACTGACATCCTGCCTAGTTCTTACACGCAAATGATTTGACGCTCGGTTTTCGGCATGTCCGCAAACGGCGCACTTTTCCCAGATACATCCACCGCTGTGTGTTGGGATGCCTCCAAGCTTGGGGGTTTCTGGAGCCTCTTCCGGGCGCGTCGAGATTTGAGCTGGCACATCCTCTTCGCACCAATTGGGACGGAAGCCCTATTGCCAGGAGACAAGCCACCTACCGGACCTACCAATTGGTGCAGGATTTTGTCTTTTTGTAGTATCTGCACCACCCGGTCTCCGGTTGGGTGGGGGAGTGGGCTATTTCGGACTGCGCATCTGGTCTTCTGTACCAGTGACACGGGGGGGCGGGGGGGCAAAGGTCACAAGAGAGAAGATCAGGATAATTGGCACTGTCTGGGGCTGGGACGGTTGGGCGTGTCGTGATGGTGGGCTGATCGCGATGGTTGAAGTTGGGATGTTGGGATGTTAGGATGCTGCGATGTTCAGGACGTTCAGGATGATTGAGATGGCCGGGCTGACCTTGGCAGGTGGGATGGTTAGGGCAGTCGGGATGAGTGGAACAGCCAGGGTGGGCAGGATGGCCGAGGGCGGTTCGGACAGTGGCCAGCAAGTGTGGGCCTGTGATTTCAGTATCCGGTGACCGCCTAGGCAGCACATGTACACTGCTTCTACGCCGGGGCGCCCAGAGACTCTTTGGGGCGCTTGATTGTGATCGGACTGGCAAGCGTCTCGACAGTGGGTGGTCAAATACGGTCTAAGCACGCTGTGCAGATGAATTGTTCATACATCTTCATGTATAAATGTTGTATATACCCCACGTGTTTAAGCAGTGGTCGAACTGCCTGGCGCGAAACATGATGAAACATGTTCATGAGGTTAAGCAGCATCGCTGAGACAGGAGTTCATTTCACGCTTGTGTTCGGAATCAGCTAATGATCAATATTGCTACGAATGTGGCATGTTGAGTTATGTTTCTGCCGTTAAGATGCTACACTTTAGGTGTCCCCACAGCTAGGCGACAGAGACCCATCAGGCCACTGACGGCGCAGTGGGATTTGACAGAATAGTCACCCTTGTTGGGGAGGCCCTGCAAATGTTTTAGTGTTTGTATGTTCGTGTTTTCTTTGTTGTGTTTGTGTTTCTGTTTTCTTGTTTGTTTTGTTTGTTGGTTAGTTGGCTGGTTGGGCGGTTGGGTTTGCTTTGCTCGTGGCATGTGGCGAGTTCAAGCCTTCAGGGTCCGATTTGAATGGCAGCCGATTCTTGTACCAGGGCCCCGACAGTGGCAAACTCTTTTTTGGTGTTGAAGCAACGCCTTGACTCTAGGGATAGATCGTTACACCTGCTGATGAGGTGTCCGGTGCTTTGCAATCTCAGGGATCCTGTGCAGGCAGTTTGTGCTTGTTTTTGACCAGGTTCGGGGACTATTTCGGTGCAGTACTGCAGCTGTTGTGTGTTTGAATACGATCTGGCTTAAAAAGATGCCGCCAGGTGGCCCCAAGTGAATTGGAATCAAGCACAATGCAGTTTCTCTTGGAGCATAGGAGTGTCCCCTTGATCCTGGCCGCCTGTTCGTGGGCAAGAACAGGGGCACCAGTTGTTCAACCTGAGATTTGTGAGGCTTGCTTAAGTTCTTGAAACAATCACATGCCTTATTAAGATGGTTCCATATAGTGTGATTCCTTGCTTCCGGTTATTGATTCCTGGATTCAGGACCCTGAGACCGCAAAGCGTCCCAACCACCAAAATGGCTGTGGGTCAAAACCAATGGAACCATTTTGTGGTAGATGCACCACCCATTTTAGAACCTATTTTAGTGGAGATTGGGATGTTCACTGGGGGTACGGGATTTGCACCCATGACCAAATGGGTATGATATGTGTGATCTTAAGTTAGGACAACATTTGGTCGCCATCTTCTTCACGGAGGTTCATGTCAACCAACCCATCAACCAGCCAGCCAGCCAGCCAGCCAGCCAGCCAGCCAACCAACCCACGAACCAACCAACCAACCAACCAGCCAATCAACCAGCCAACCAACCAACCAACCAACCCACCAACCGTTGTGTTTCGCATGACAATTCCTAGCCACGTCTCCGTCTTACAGAGCGCCTTTCCCAGAGGAAATGGGTCTTCCGGGACCTCCCAAAGCTGCCTTTTTTGCGGGGGGGGAGAAGCTGGGCAGGCGGTACGAGCTCATGAAAGATTCTGTCTTGGGGATTCCTTCTGTCCGGTTTTTGAATTTGGCAAGCAGCGTTACACTATTGTACTCCAATCGTGACTTCGCTTTACTTTGAAGTATCCTACACACCCATTCTTAAAAACTTTAGTTGGAAAGTCGATGATGCAACAGGCTAAGAAAACTGTTCAGAGATTATGCCGAACATGGCCGAAAATAAAGCCTGAGAAATGGCGGAGAACTGTTCCATCCAGCGACTTTCTGAGGGTGTTTGTATTACACCCCGGGAGTACACCATTGGGAAATAACCCAGCATGGTTCAAAATAACGGTTTTATCCGGACATGTGCCATGGGGTCAATACCCAGTGGGTGTATTCCATGGAATACAAAAACCCGAGTGCTTCGTCCGATTGCAAGCAGGAGCTGCAGCTCGGAGAACGGACACCTGAACACGGGGAAGGTGGGGCTGGATGTTTGAGCAGGGCAAGGGGGGGAGGTGGCCATGGGTCCAAATCCAAATCGGCTAGCCCCCAGTGAACATAAACCAATCCCCGCTAAAATCCCGACTAAAATGGGTGGTGCACCTACCCCAAAATGGTACCATTGGTTCTGACCCACAGCCATGTCTTTTTCGGCCTTCGTTTCAGGCGATATTGGCCAGTTCTAGTATTTTAACTCCTTTCCGTTGACACATGGACCAGAAGAAAGACCGCAAAGTCATTTCCCAATAGATTGAACTTCTAAGGAACCCAATGGGTCAGGGGTTTTCCATAGGCCTTCGGAACTCCGCCCAAGACCTGGGGCCGGTCCTTCTGGCAATCCCATGGATTGGCCATGGGTGATTGGGAAATATGGATTTGGAACCCTGTACCAGTCTCCATGACCCTTAAAAAATGGGTCCATGACCCCCAAAATGGGTAGTTTAAGGGACATGGAGACATGGAGACTCCAGCTAAATCCAGAGTGGCCACGGTTCGGTTCGGTTCGGTTTCCAGAAACCTAACCTGTTTAATTACGGCTCGGTTCGGTTTCTCATCTGAAATCGGTTCGGTTTGGTTCGGTTACTATGCTATGTTTTCGGTTCACGGCTCTTTGCACTGTGCACTTCCAGCCGCGCACCACACTCCTAACCTCGGCGTGCCAGCCTCCTGTCTCTATCACAAGGCACTCATTAGCACTTTCAGCACCACCTCCATCACCTCCAGCCTCGTGTGCCTTCCCAGCCTCACCGGCCTTCACCTCCAGCCTCATGTCCCCCCTCTTCAGCCTCACCAGCATCACATCCAGCCTCACTTCCAGCCTCACCTCCCGCCTCCTCACCAGCCTCACCTTCACTTTCACCTCCAGCCCCACCACCTTCACCTCCAGCCCCTTCAGCCTCACCAGCATCCCCTCCAACCTCACCTCCGGCCTCACCAGCCTCACCTCCAGCTTCACCTTCAGCTCCACCTCCACTCTCACGACCTTCACCTCCAGCCAGCCGTCTGCCCAGCCTCACCTCCCGCCTCCTCACCAGCTTTCACCTCCAGCCCTCCAGCCTCACCTGCCTCCCCTTCAGCCTCACCAGCATCCCCTCCAGCCTCACTTCCAGCCTCATCAATTACCTTTATGCCTCCAGCCTCACCAGCCTCACCTCGAGCCTTTCCAGCATCGCCGCTGTTAGTTAGTAGTCATACGCCCAGCTTCACCTCCAGTCTCATCAGCTCAGTCCCGCCAGCAGATACCTTCCCCCAATATGGCAAATTGAACGAGCTGTGCCGCTGAACTCCGCGATTCTGGCTGCTCACCAAGCTCTAAACCTAACGATTCGGTTGTTTTCCTCTGGACGGTCCGGTTCGGTTCGGCTTGTGAAAATTTCACGGTTCGCAGGCGCTTCGGTTCGCAGACGGTTCGGTTCCACGGCTCTCGATTCCCGGGCTCCCTGAAATTTCCGGGGCCCGGGCCATGTGGCTTTCATCCCGTTTTGGGCGCTCTGGCTTCCAGAGGCCGGTTCAATGTCAGGGCTCCGGAAAAGATCGCCGTTTTAAAGCCACCAGTTGAAACATGTTGCCTTTTCAACACCGAAACAAAGGGGAACGGTACCATTTACAAGTGGCAATGTTCAGGTGTAGAATGCAAGGATCCCTGTGAATGGCGAGGAATATGGACCCGACTCTTTTCAGGAAAAGTCCCACGGCAAGATGCTAACATGTGGGAGGAACGATGCTTCAATCGCTTGAATGCAATGTCTAAGTAAAGAAATCATCGGGTAAAACCCGAACAAATAGAAAGTGGCATAAATTCTAGAATCAAGCTTTGTTTCTCTCTCACATAATGACTTGCGCTTGAAATTGAAGTAGGCTTAGGGCAACTCACTATAGCCGTGGCCTGATAGACGGTCATGCGTGCTGGGAATTAATTGTTAGCTGTAAACCGCAAGCCTTAAACCCTGTGTACGTTGCGAGGCCTTCCCTTCACCAACCTCCACAACTGCGGTCTTGTTTTTCCCTCTTGAGATCTGGGGCTGGCCAAAAAGAACGGGTGCTTCTTCAGAGTGCAGAGCCCCTTGTGCCATCAGCTCCCAAAAGAGAAGGGCGCTTTTTGGGGGGATTTTTGTGGATATTTAGTTGCTTGATCAATGGCATATGTTAGATCCCAATCCCCAAGAAACAAAAAGACGCATCCGGCAGTGGCCGAGGTGCGAAAGGTGCAAAGCTACGCTGTGGAGCTGTGAAAGCATCAGGCTAGAGCCAACAACATTGAGTCAGCTTCGCCGGATTGTTTGCGAGCCGCCTCGTGTTAGAACCATCAGCATGGAGTCGGCTTCGACTTACCTCTCGAGCGGCACTCCCAGTCTGCACTAATTATTCCGCAAGCTTCTCGATGGGTACAACGAGCTTCATGTTGTAGTGAACCCGTCCTGGTAATAGGGGGGGGTGCTCCCCTCCAATATTGATGAACCCCCACATCAACCGCGGGTTTATTAATCTGGGGTTAGCGTTACCCCTGAATCACTGAAGGTCCCTTAGGGATTTCTTAGGTTCGTGTAGGAATTAGTGCCAGGCTGAAACACCAAGGGCTGGCAGTCCAAGGGCTGCTCATGCTCCTCAAGGAAACATCGGATTTACAGAGCATCTTCGTGCTGGAGGTTTTTCCATGATTGCCGCGTGGCCACCATGCATCGGCTGAGGCGTCGGCCGAGTTTCCCGTCAAACTGCTGACGCTGTCTTGTCTTCCAAGATACAGTGAGCGTCAAGCTCGACTTTCCGCTAAAACCTTGACTGTTGTTTGGTCCACGATTTTACAGGTGATAGTATCGCATGTGGATATTTTAAGCACGAGTTGCCTTTCTCGCTGGGCGCCTGTTTTGGTTTCCGCATGTTGGAAACGCCCTTGCGTGGCCATTGGCCGTGGCAGTCAGTTGAAGTCTTCTGAGACTTCTTAGTGGCCATAAAGGCGGCCTGGAGTGAGGTGTTTGCTTGGGTGCCAACATTTGCATGAGCCAATGGTTTCTAAACTTGCTTGGTGTTCTACAGCATTGGGATGGTTCCTGGTTCTATCTCGCCCTAGCTAAGAGATGTGGGCTCTCTTGCCCAGATGGGCCCGTTTTGCTAAACGGCCACGGATTTCTCTTGTTTCTCCTTCGAAGTTTACCAAAAGAGGTCCCCGAGAAAAAGACACCCGTGCACCATCCAGCCACGTTGCCAGAACCATTTCAACGGCTTTGGCACAAGTCCGCAAAGTTACGCCCTCCAAATGGCAGAAGTTCTCTGTTTTGGGGGGCCCTTCAAAGCCGTCCAATGATCCAAGCTGACATTTGACACATCCCGTTTCGGTCCAATATCAGTGGGATTTCTTTCAAATCCTCCTCTTTGAAGTTGTAGTTGTAACCATATTTCTGTTCGAGCAAAGAAACGGGGTTGCTTTGGGCTACAAGGTGATGAATCACCAGGGCTCGAAATTGGTCAAGAGCTCGGTGTCCGCATGTATCCCCTGCCGATTGAATTCGGGCACCCGCAAAGACCTGACGACGAGCGTCCACCCCAAACTTGTGAGGAGCCAAGGGCACTCTAGGTTACGTTCCAGATCCGCGATGGTGCCTGGATACTTGGGTGTTAAGTTGTCAAGTCCAATGAAACGGGAAAACAACGTGAAGTTCAGTCCAATGAACATGAGCCCCAACTGGATACGACCCACGTGAAAGGAATCATGGCATGTTCACTAGGTGCAATGGTAACCGCGGCACCAGATCGCACTACGTGTGAACTCCCTGCTCTTGGCTTCTCAGATAGCTACCTTGCTCACATCACAGCTTCTGGTGTTTTCCTGGCAATTATGGGTAGTGGACAGAGGCGACAGGCCAATGGTGAAGTAGTTACCTGGGTCCTCCGTCTCCGGGTTGTTTCTCTCTTTTTTCATTCTCCGGGTTATTTCCAGGAGACTTTCTGAAAAGTAGGAGTTGGCGTTTCAGGTGGCATGAGGCAAGCAGGAGTGGCTTGTGAAACGCAGGAGTGGACATCCAGAAGGAGAGGTTCTCGGGGAACAATTGGAAACAAGTCTTCTTGTCTTTTTTGTTGTTTGGGCCCGCTATGCAGCTCTGCGCACTATGGGTATTCCACTTTTTTACTGAACATGCACTCTCCGGAAGCTCATTTTGTTATTTAGTTTGCAGGAGTTTGCGGGTGATTGCTTGTTCTGCGCTGGGTTTCATAATTCTGAATACTGTAATTGATTCTGGTTCATGGCGATGCTGATCCTTAATACTTTAGAATCCTCCAAGGGTTTGCATTGCGTCATTTCCGCCCGAGTTGCCTCTATTTCCGCACTTCCCCCCCTTTATTGTCGCACCCCTTCAAATCCCACGATTTCCTTGTATGTCCCGTCATTTCCTATCATTTCCTCGTCACGGCCCCTTCATTTCCTTTCAATTTCCCCTTCATTTCCCATGCAGTTCCCCTTCATTTCCAGTCATTTCCCTCCTACATCTCCCTTCGTTACTGTCTGTCCTTTCCCTTCGTTTCCCCTTCATTCCCCTTCATTTCTTGTTCCTTTCCCCTTCAATTCCCTTTCAGTTCCCCTTCGTCTTGCATTTCCCATTGATTTCCTGTCATTTCCGCTTCCTGTCCCCTGCATTTCCTTGCATTTCCCTGGACTTCACCGTCATTTCCCCGCACTGTTCTGCATTTCCGCACATGTCCCCTGCACTTCCCCTTCAGTTTCCGATTCATTTCCCTTCACTTCCCCTTCATGGCAGCTTCATTTCCCGGTCGTACTTCCCATTTCGACAAGAGGAGGCGGAAGACTCGAGGCCGGCAGAGAGTCGGCAGGGGGACACCAGCTCTCAGAAGACTATCTTTAGGGGCACGCCATCAGATTTCCGCACGGTACGTGGCCCCAAACTTTACGTGTCAGAAGTGTCTCGCGGGGGGGAAAAGGGGGGGCGGGGTTTACCTCTATCCTTTCGCGCGGAACACTGTCGGCGGATTTCTGACTTGGAGGGCTCCTTTTGTCAAGTACCGAAAAATTGTGATTTCCAGCGGTTTCAGGTGTGCAAGCCAATTTTCCAGGAGTGACAATCAATTTCTAGGAGTTTTACCTCAAAGAAAATGATTTGGAAGATCCAGGTAAGTAGTTCCAGGCACTGAGTTTGACAGAGTGGATCGTCATAATCCACTTCGTAGCAGTTGGTCGGTGGTCTACCGTATGCTAATTGCGCATCCGACGAAATGCGAAGTGAATTTTGTCCATCCACTGATAGGTGGGGTGCTGGTGTTTCCGTGCACTTCGCTTCGCTGGGGTTTGCAATGGAAGTGACGGGAACGGGAACCCCAGGAGGCTGAACCCCAGGATTGGGAGCTATGTTTTGCCATCGGTTCCCTTGTCTGTTTTTATGTCTGGCATTTTGTGGCGCCGAAGAAAGGAGGCAGAGCGTGAAAATGGAGGCACATCGGCACCTAAGTGGTGTACGGGTTATTTATCAACAAACAGCTTGGTGCTAGCGAATCACGTCTCATTGCACCGATTCGTATCTTTGAAAGCTGCCCCATCCAGGCATGCCCATGCTGGCATGCGCAGTTGATCTGTGAGCAAGGGGAGAAGTTTGGGCTCGCTTACGACTATTACCCGCAAAGTGGTGAATTAAATGCTGCACGGCGGACGACCATGCTGGCATGCGCAGTTGATCTGTGAGCAAGGGGAGAAGTTTGGGCTCGCTTACGACTATTACCCGCAAAGTGGTGAATTAAATGTTGCACGGGACCATGCTGGCATGCGCAGTTGATCTGTGAGCAAGGGGAGAAGTTTGGGCTCGCTTACGAGTATTACCCGCAAATTGGTGAATTAAATGCTGCACGGCGGACGACACCTCGAGACACTCGCAAGGTTTCCCTGTTGACACAATCGTTTAGCAGCCCATCAAGCAAGAAGAAATCAAGAAGTCGTTTAAGGCAATCAGAGCTGACAGACGTGCCTCGGGATGGTAAGACCCCTTGATCAGCTCGCAACATCGGTTTGGTTTTTGGTTTTGGCACTCGCAAACAGCCACTAGCAAAAGCCGCTTGCTTGCAATTTGAAAAGACAGGATGTTGTGGAGGTTTCTTCGTGGGGTTGAAAGTCCCAGACACCCAGTCGGTTGCTTCCGTTTGTTCTTTTCTTTGGAGGGGTTCCCTTTCAAGTCACAGGGATATTGTGTTTTTTTTTTGCTGACAGTGTGCAGACGTATGGAGACAGCAAGTTGTAGGGCATGGATGGATGGCACTGGTTTTTGGGCTTGAAACCAATGCATAGATATGTGCAACTCCCCTCCAAAACCTACCAACTTTGCATTGTTCAGTGCTTTGAGATGCAAGAGTCGCCAGACATGTTTCTTCATAATTGAGGATCTTGAGCAGTTATTCTTAAGAAGTATGACTTGAGCACCATTTTTAAGGAAAGGGGTCAAAACTCAAGATGCCCTCGGTATGTCTTTTTGATTTATTTTTTCGGCCTTTTGACTCTTGAATCTTGTGGTAAGCGACTGGCAGCGACTGGCTGAATCAAAACAACTGTTCAGTATACGAGATTTACGCAAAGTACACTTTAGCTGCTTCAACGAGTGTAGGCGGAAAGTGAATCGGACAGTATCTCATTTTGCACGCACCCAGGGTTTGTCTTGGGCCATCTTCCCGTACAGACTTTGGTGGGCGGGTATTTTTGTGCAAATGCAAACCTTCAGTTTTGCGCTAAGGAATTCATTCCTATTCTAAACTGCTACTTGAAAATGAGGTGCTCCGTGTCCTTGTATATAGTTCCATTTACTTTCTACTTGAATTCCGTTTTAAAGATTCCATCTTCAGCTCTATCAAGATATCACTTGGAAAGCAGTGCTTTTGATCTAGTTAATTTCAGTGCGTGTCAACGACATTTGTTGATCATCACGTCTGAGAAGGGGATCCATTTTAACATGCTGTTTCAAGTTCAATCCAATTCAACTCTAAGCAATGGCATGTTCGTATACCTTCTTGAGCAAAACAAAAACAGCGAATTGGAGAGGACCACTATAAAAATTGCTTGATGAAATTGAAGTCAACTTCATTTTCATAAGATTCGGTGGTCCTTGGAGTCCTTATCTAATTCCATGTGGTTCTAAGCACGAGAGCCAAGCCAACGACTTCCTTTCGTTTCAATCAACATCGATCTGCTTTTTCACCTTTGGCAAATGTGGCATGTTCCAGCATTTCTCGGATCATCGTTCAT